TCAGGAGCCCTCCCTGGGCTTAACGGGGAATCGGGAGCCCTTCCTGGGCTTGACGGGGAATCGAGAGCCCTCCGTGGGCTGAACTGGGGATCGGGAGCCCTCCGTGGGCTATACTCGGGAACGGGAGCCCTTCCTGGGCTGAACTGGGGATCGGGAGCCCTTCCTGGGCTTAACTCTGGAACGCTGAACTGGGGATCGGGAGCCCTCCGTGGGCTATACTCAGGAACGGGAGCCCTTCCTGGGCTGAACTGGGGACCGGGAGCCCTTCCTGGGCTTAACTCTGGATCAGGAGCCCTTCCTGGGCTGAACTGGGGATCGGGAGCCCTCCCTGGGCTTAACGGGGAAACGGGAGCCCTCCCTGGGCTTAACTCGGAGGACTAGAGTGGGCCGCGGACGGCAGCGGGCTGGGCAGAGGAACCGCCGGCTTACTAGACTCGGGAACGGTCGACTTACTTGACTTGGGAATGGCCCGCGGAGGGGTTCCGGATCGGGATTGCAGGCACTCCAGACACCGAATGACTGTCTCCTTCCAGTCGAGGTCGGTGGTGTCTGGGAGCTCCGTGGGATGATGGAATGTTATCCGGATCCGGAACAGCGTTGCGAGGGTTTTCCCCTCGAGGGAGCTGGCGAGGGCGAGCGGCACGAACGCCCTAGCAAAGACAATGGGATCTGGGCTCGCCTGAGCCAACGTGATGAACTTTACGCGTTCCTCCATTTGGGGACGTGGAGGAACGCATGGAACAAATGGGAAAAAAACAAAACACTTTTCAAAAAATGGAAAATAAACACTGGGAGAAAAAAGGCACCGCTTTACTTTGTTTGTCCGGTATTCTGTCACGATCTGCTACGGTGCGGGAACACGAAGCAAGGAGCGAGGAGACCAAGAGTACAAAAACCAAGGAATTTATTAATCTTCACGGGGAATCATACGTAGCACGAGTATACAAACAATACCAGACCCTGGAGCACACACAGGGAACACTATTTATACACACAGGAGGAGGGGATGACGAGACACACCTGGGAGCAATGAAACCTCATGGGAAACACTTGGGACAAATTAACTAATTAATCACATACAACAGGAGACGAAAATCACATGACGAGGACAGGAACATACATGTGACAGTTCTTCCTTTGTTATCTTGAAACATTAGGGCCTTTCGCACCGCGGGAACCTTTTCATAGTACCAGAACTAATTGTGGAACTACCCACTTTTTGGCGTTTCCTCATTTTGTGGTCTTGTTGAAGAAACAGCTGCCCTTTTATTGTGATTGTAGTATAACCAATAAATTTGGGGTTGATTTACATTTTTATATTTTTAACCCTACTAATATGACCCACAGTTTAGTCCTTAAATATATTATTATTTATTACTAAAACCCAAAAATCTTTATCTCTTGAATATGTTGTTACTTTATTTTATGTGCAAAATTTTTCAGGTGCGAATGCAACCATTTAAATAGTACTGGCAAATAGTTTGCGCAAAATCGTCCCAGTACTTTAGTACTGTACATTTAGTTCTGGAACTAAAGCGGTGCGAAAGGCCTTATTATTGTGCCAATGTTTTATTGAGAACATTATATAATCTGTTACCTCAACAACATCCTCAAAACATCCTCAAAATGTTGCAGGTAAAATGTTCTAGCTTTGTTTACACTTAACATTTTAGGAACATTATCTGAAATGAAAAACATTCTTAAAACATTTTTTGAACATTACATTCAAATGTTTTCTCTAAAACATCAACCAAACCTGTACGGAATGTTAGCCAAAGTTATGAGAACATTCCCTGCTAGCTGGGTTACTGCTTCAACTGAGGGTGAGCACCCCCATAGGACTGGGCCTGATTTTATCTATCCCACCCATCCTCAATGCCAAAAATACAGGTCTCACCCTTTTTCGAAAGTTGGATTTAACCCACCCATCCATTGTCTAATGCAATTTTTGTGCAATCATCAATCAGGCCTTAAAAAAACAAGGAAAATAGCCTGCATTTCTAGTCTTTTATGCATATTTGTATGTTTATTATGTAAATGCTCTGTTTATTTTATTTATTTGTTATGTATAATACATTTATATTTTAGATTACGTATTTGTGTTTTCATTATCTTGCCTAGGGCCCCACAACCCTGCCACTACCAACAGTTCCACCAACAACAGCCGCTCCTCCAACAGCTGCTCCAGCAAGAACAGCTTCTCCAACAGCCACTCCACACTCTACAGCTCCAGAAACACTTCTACTAACAACTCCACCGACAACAGCTCCACCAGCAACTCCACCAGCAACGGCTCCATAAACAGCAGCTGCACCAACAACAGCTCCACCGACAGCAGCTCCACCAACAACAGCTCCAGCAAGAATACCTTCAACAGCTCCTGTAACAGTTCCACTAGAAGCTCCACCAGCAGCTCCACCGATAACAGCTCCACCAACAGCTCCAACACCAACAGCTTTAGCAACAGCCCCAATGCTGGCAGCAGCAGCTCCACCAACTACAACTCCACCAACAGCAGCACCAACTGCTCCACCCAAAGCAGCTCCAGCAGCAGCTCCAGCAACAACTCCAGTTACAGTTCCACTTTCAGCTCCACCAATTACAGCTCCTGCTACACCTCCACCAACTGCTCCACCAACAACAGCTCCACCAACAATTCCATAAACAGCAGCTCCTCCAACTGCACCACCAATTACAAAACCAGCTGCTATGGCTGCTATATAAATATGACGCTTATGCCTGGATAAAAACAGCAGAAATCCACTAAATGGTTGATTTGGTCTATCTTCATACTCTGCTCTGATTCTCTGCTCTGTCTCTCTTCTCACTCTGTCAATCTCTTGTCTTTGACTCTGCTCTCTCTCTCTCTGTCTCATCTCTTCTTCCTCTCTGAATCTCTGAGCATCTTGAAACATCTGATTACTGTAATGTCCACCTCCATTCTGCTCTATCATTGTGTCAATCTTCTGCAGTAGATCATTCACCTGCTCTCTGTTATTCTGATCTCTGTTGTTGAAGACATGAAATCTGCCTCCACACTGCTGAACTAGATGTCTTAATCTACTGTTATGCTCAATGAGTTCCTCTACAGACTCTCCTTCTAGCTGATCTCCATGAGTGAAGAGAATGATGGAGTATTTTAGCACCTCCTGACCAAACAACATCTCAATCTGCTGAGGAATCTGCACCTCCTGATCAGTGAATCTCATATTCACAGGAAACACAATGAGAAAAACATGAGGTCCAGGACTGGATAAATAAATGCTTCTTGCCATCTCTGTCACAAGCTGCTCAGTATTCATCTCTGTCAAATAATCCAGGAGTATCAACTACAGACACAGACCTGCCTGAAACAGTGGCGTGAGCAGCTGAACTTTCACGGGTTACTGAATTCATATTCAGTGCAGATCTGAACACTCTCTGTCCCAGTATTGTGTTTCCAGCTGCACTTTTCCCAACACCACTTTTGCCCAGAAGAACAATCCTTCTGGATGATCGACTGGAGACAGGAATGTCCTGAAAGTTGATGGGGATTCTTTGCAGTGGATTATGTGGCACTGTATATAAAAGAAAACAGACCAAACAATCACTTATTTTACAACATGTACTTTATTGTGCTACCTCATAAAACAATAACTTTTACTAATATATGACAGTTAACATACAGTAAATTATTTTCCCAGAGAAAGGAGATGTCACTGCTTAAACTCACAAATGATACACATAGACATGTCACAATTTGAGGCACTTTTTATTCATGTCATAAAAATTCCTTAAAGTTGATCTTTACTGGGTGAATCTATTATATTTAATTCTATTATAATCATATTTCCAAAACTTTTACTCACTCTTTGAACCAGAAAATCTTTTTGTGTCGTAAGGTGCTGGAAGTTCACAACTTTTGCCTACACAACGTGAGTCCGAAGTGGAGCTCCCTGATAGAAAAGATGGACAAAACACACATTTGTAATAATATTTGTTGCCTCTGTTTTTATTTTGTAGCTTAGAAATAAAGAACATTTACATGTTTTTTAATTACCATGGTAATCAAAAATATTAGATTTATGCATTATTTTGTCAAAGAAAATCATATGCAATCAGATAACGGTTACCATTTAAATTTTGTAAGGGACATGCAATATGACATGATCACAGATAAGTAGTAAACACTAAGATATATATTAAATTATTAGAAGGAGATAAAAGAGTCCTAATGTAAATTATGCAGATCATAACAAACCATATGTGTGTCATAATAGAAGTACCTTGGGTAATTGTGGTTAAAAGAAACTTAGGATGTGAAATAAGTTGTTGCCAGGCAGAATTCATACTTGCAGGTTGTGATCATTATCTGAGTTACTCGACAGATGTGAAGATTTATATTTAATGTAAGATTTACATTTCTACTTATTAACAATGTACATAGACATTTTGAATTTGGCAGTCTTTAATCAGGAAGAGAGTGTTTGTGTCCAAGTAACGATTATGGTAAGCATATTAAATATAATTATGAATAATAAGAAATAAATTACAAATTTAACAATGAATATTTATTTGCTTTAGTGTACAGTATATAGTGGTTTGTGTTATTTAAGTGATAGCCTACACAACCCACATCTTATGTTACACAAAGAATGTGTAATGTATAATCTCAGAATGATCATGTATTAATTTGAATCTTTAGACAGACCAAAATAAATGTCTTAAAGTAATCTAACTGTCTACATTTGCATTTAAATAAATAAATTTGGTAAATAAAGAATGAATGGCAATTACACAAATTATAATCCCAATTAACAGTTTCAACAATTATGTTTTAAATTACATATTAATGTCTAATATAAATATAACGGCTTATCATTATTCCCACTTTGTGAAAAACAATATACATTGTAATAATAATAATAATAGTAATAAAAATGACATAACATGTTTTTAACTTTTTTTTTTTTTTTCTTTTCCAAGATTCAACTCATTTTTAAAATCAGTTGAATATAAATTAAGCTGAAATTACTTATACAGCCAAGGTACTTATACTTAACAATTTAAGGCAGCAGGTTATTTTTACATACATAATTGCACTTCCTACCAGTAATTCAGTTAATGTCTCTCACCTGCTCTGAAAGTTATTTTACTTGTCATTTGCAACTTAATTATAATCAATGAGAAGTATAGTTAAGCTTACCTGTGAAGTGCTTCAATATACAAGTGAAATAGTTGGAGCCTTGTGCTACAGACGTACAGACTTGACAAAGATGTTTTGCTGCTTTTGTTTCGCTCTAATACAATACACTCAGTTCAGTGCCTTATTATTTGACTGCAAGTCAAGGATTCCAGTTAGGAAAAGTGAAGGAGGAGGAGCACAGCAACGAGGAGGGTAAAGATGCGTGTGATTGAAGAGGGTGCACAGGATATTTTCCTTCAGCTTGGGTCGCAGTGGTGGGATTTTTTATTTTTATTTTTTTATGTAACCATCCATAACACTATATCAACAGAAACACAACAATGCACTAAATCCACTGAGAACATGCAACAGCACAATGCCCTGACAAACACTCACATATTGTTTAGAATATGCAATGTATATATATATATATATATATATATATATAAACTGTGTTTTTTTTATTATTTAATTACATTTTAATGTGTGCACAGTTATTACCACAGTGTTTAGACATACATTGTTTGGGACAAGTTAGACATGTTAGGTCGGGATTTAAAGCCAGGAACTCAAACAAAACATGAACTGAACCAGACCACCCAGTCAAAACTGTTTGGAATAACACTGTTTTTGATTTCGATGGTCCACCCAACAAACTAAGAAACTTCGCAAATGACAACTAACCAGGGGCGTTGCTAGGGTTGGAATAGATAAGGGGCTTAGCTAAATCGTTGTCATTTAGGAATAAGATTGTGTGGGTGATTGAATCGTGTTCGCTATCTGGATATTTAAAGGGGTCATATGATGCGATTTCAATTTTTCCCTTCTCTTTGAAGTGTTACAAGCTCTTGGTGCATAAAGACCAAAATAAAACAAAAATTACGGCTTCAAAGAGTTTGGTGAACACGTAGGCTAAGGTAACCGGTAATTTACCACAGCCAGCAGCGCAAACTGCTTTTCATCACGGACAGATTGATTTCTAGTACTTGGAGAAAAAAATAAACAAAATGTATAAAACATAGGCTACTTTATTTGTGAAGTGAATGGTCCATCATCAACAAGATCAGGGGCTTTTGGCAAAACATCAGGGGCTTAAGCCCCCAACGCAACGCCACTGCTACTAACCTTAACAGTCTACTAACAGTCATCTAATTTTCCAATGAGAGTTAGTTGACATGTACTGTAGTTGCAATGTTACTTACACTGTAGTTAGTAGAATGTTTAAATTAGACCATTAACATGAAATATGTCAAAACAAATGAACATCAAGATGTCACAATCATAAAAATGGTCGAATTGAATATAAATTTTAGTTGTGATGATTCATGAAATGCTTTTGTATTTATGTGGTGTTTTTGTATTTAAATATCTGTTCTGTGTGGTTGCTATAGGCTTGTTTTCTGGCCCAAGAGTCCATCCCCCAAGGGGGAATTCACACAAGCAGGTGATTTACAGGAAACTAAACAAGTAGCCTATATCTTTCACTTGTTTACGCACTTTAGACATTCAATAAATAGAAGAAAAAAATCCTGTTCAAGAAAGTTGCTAGTCTTGTTTGGTCATATAGGCATACTAGAGGATTATAGTTTACACAGAGACCACAGGTGGTATGATGCTGTGGTTTGGAAATGAAACCGGTTTGGAGATGTAACTACTAGCTTAATATCTGTAATAGGCTACACGCAAGAAAGCCTTTTTCGATTATTTTAGGCATATCTTTTAAAGTCAAGCCTCCAGACCTGATTAAAATTGTTTAATAATATCATAATGAGATAAAAAAAAAAAGAAAAAAAGATGCAAGTCCCTGATGTATTTTTGTTTTCGTCTGTTCCGCGCGTCACGTGATACTTTTTGTTAAAGCCCTTTTCATTTCGTTAAAGCTCGCTTCTGAGTGAACGCGTTTACCTCGACGACATTGTGTGTGGCTCTCGGTGAGTTTAATATTTGTCATTTATAGTTGTAATGCAATTTATATTTGTTTATATTTTACTTTATTGTGCATGGATTCTGAATTATGAAGCATGCGGTTATTTTTTTTAGTTATAACGTCTTGAACAAATATTGTAAGAAAGACTATTTGCGGATTGAAAAGGTAGTTCATCGCAAACAAATCAAAACTCGACAAGTATTCTGTTTTCACTTTGTTAAAGCATTGATTTAAAAGTTTCTGTATCGATAGAACTAATAGCAAACAGGTGCCTGTACTGTAATGTAAAGGGCTGTTCACATGTTGCGTATAAAAACGCCAGCCGCGCCGCGTTCTCTTTCTTTTCAAAGTGCTCGGAAGTTTGCGCTCCCCTTGCGTCTGCTCTTGCCAAGCAACCATCAGCCGCACTCTCCATTACATTACATTTATGCATTTAGCAGACGCCTGTATCCAAAGCGACTTACAGTGCATTCAGGCTATACATTTTTTTTACTATTTCATTACGACGAGGAAGAAAGAAAGAAAGAAAGAAAAATAATGTATTTAGCACAGAGATACTGTATAGGCTATTGGGAAAAAAAAAAAAAAAGGCAAAGAAGATGCGGGTTTAATTAAGCTGGGGATTAAGCGTGCCAGTCTTTTGGCTTGAAACTGCTTTCACATTTGATAATGATTCATTAATTTAATTTTATGTCCAGATGGACGAATTACTAACAAAGTGATTTCTTCAGATACCCGGCAAGCAATTCGGATTTCTTAAAATAGGTTTAAACTGAACAATACACTCTAAAAAATGCTGGGTTGTTTCAACCCAACTTTGGGTCAAATATGGACTAACCCAACTTTTGGGTTAAAAATTGAATGTAAAAATTTAAAGGGGTCATATGATGCGATTTCAATTTTTCCTTTCTCTTTGAGTGATACAGAGATATTCTTTATAAAAGTTAAGAGTCAACCACGCCTACCTAAAACGGCTCGTTCTAAAACG